TGCATGTTGCATCCACATGTTGATATGAATATCATAATACGCAGCATGTACACAGATGTGCGTATGCCTCAGATAAATATTTTTTTATTAAAGATTACTGACAACATATGTGGATGCAACCTCCATAAAGTAGTTTTTACCTACATTCTGCCCAATTAGCCAAACTAGAATTACTAGCATGATAGTTAAATAAAATAATTCACTTTATACATATTTTTTTATACTAAATATTTAATTTTATTAATATTTATGAATAATTTGAATACAATCTATATATTAATGGTAATAATAAGTTTCAGAGGAAAAAAAGACTGCGGTCAATAAACATTCTAAAGAAGACTGGTATTTTAATAATTTCAAGCATAGTTTACGTAATATCCTTTACTATTTGTGGTATTACTATTATATGACTACATAAAGCTTCAATATAAGCGGATTTACTGTATGAGAGTTTCAAACATTAATAATTAGTATTTTAACTACGTTCTACAAACTTTACAAAATACGAGCTTTTATATAAGTTTTTGTTTTAAATATATTTGTTATTCAATATTGCTACTATAATTCAAATCAATTTAACAAGACTATTTTAAAATCTAATAAATTGTTATATATTAACCAGATATTATTTAATGGTTTCAATAACCACACATTGAAATCATTAAATGAAAAAATATAATAATGAATAAAAAGTAAATTCTAATTTACATTGTGAAATTTATAAATAATTACAAAATTACCTAAATTATATTAAAATACAAATATAATAATAAAGATTGTCATGTTTTTTTCATACTTTATTGCAGTAAAAATATTTTAGTTCTTTTATTTGCAGTTTATTTAGCATTAGATTACAGAATTATAATTTAGTTTATATAGATTAGTCATTATAATTTTTATAATAATTTTTAGTAGTAATGATTAATGTATAAATTTTAGATTTGCTAATAAAGAAAACATAACCATTTTGTACGAAATTTAACACGTTCAAAATTAAAGCAATATTGGAATAAATATTTAAAATTGGCCAATCTAATCAACATATACAGCAAGCGGTAAATCAGTTAATTAAATAACAATGTATCGAATTGTTATTGAGCTATGGTTTTCATCAATAATTCCTGAACAGTGCCGGACAAATTTAATTGAATTGTAAAATAATTGGTTCAATTATATTTCTGATTGATTTCGTAAAAACCGGCAAAGCCCTAAATCCGCAAATGATTTCAAAACACGATTTCTCGCGCTTTTCGTCAGGGGACAAGGGAAAACTCTTGCAGAGCACGAGTCGTGCACCCCTTCCAACCATTGTTGGGAATAATTGGTGGGAATTCGGTCGAAGCTGGAAGAGAACATTGTGTTTCTACTGATTCCAGCCAAATGGCCACTTAAAAGCGCGCGCCTCCGACAAACACGAGGTCACGATAAGCAAACAATTTAATTACAATCGCTGCGGCGGAAAAATGTGTATACTACCACTCTTTTTTATTTTCGGGATTTCCGCTTTAAACGTCACCCTCTCTCTCCCACTGTGTATGTTCTATTATTGCTTTTTTGTCTCCCTCTGTTTGTACATCCTCCCGCGTTTCCGCGGAAATGGCTTAATTCTATTTTACTTCGCTGATTAGCGCGATTAAATTTTAACAGGAGCATTATTTAATTATGGAATTTTAATTGGAGTATTGATCGGATGTATGGAGGGGCGTTAATTGTGTTTAACTGTAGCTTTTATTGGCATTCGGGACGCGTTTAAACCGTTCCATTGCTTTGACATTTTTTATTCACCCTATCTCTCTCTCTCTGAATATATTTAATCTGTCCCCCATGGGCGTTTTGCGCCCAAATGAGGCGCAGCTAATTAGATTGTTGTAACCGTTTAATTAAGTTTCTGTAACTATTTCCGAAGTGAGCAGTCGTGTGCCTTTGCGGCAGCAAAATTTAATTATTCTCTCAAGTATTCCATATCAAAACTAATCCATCTGCAAACCTAATTCGCAACCCTCGTATGATGTGACCGAATCATATTCTTCTTTTTTTTTGGTGCGTTTTAGCAGTTGACTTTCCGCGTGGCTTAATTGAATTTTCGTTGCCCGGATTTTCCTTCACTTTCCTTCTTCACTTAGTAACTGTTGCTTTAATCCGACCTTTCCCCCTTGTTGTTTCTACGGTTTTTCCCCATTTCCGTCTCATTTTCTCTCTCTCTCCTTTCCTCGTTATAGGATGTGTTGATTTTTCGCAGCGACACAATTTAGAATTAAATTCGAGTCGGAAAATTTCCACTTCCAAGGCAAACAAGTTAAACGCCGACGATTCCATGAATATTTTCAGCTGATTAAAGGAACCTCCAATTTGACTTTTCTTCTACTTCTTCTGTTCTTCACTCACCCTCTTTTACTCTTTGAACAGTTCGTATTATTTCAATTTCGACGTTCGCACAATATTCTTTTATGGGTGGTAAAATTTAATGCCGCATAAAAATATTAGATTTTAATGGGATTTGTTTGTTGCGCAGGAGTAATGGGCAGGCAAAGAGGAGACCGGCAGGCGATGGGATGGATTCCCAAATGGATGATCCCGAATTGATCTTCGAAGTTTCAGATCAGATTAGGGACTGTCCGTGCGCCTGTGATCATGTCATTTATGGCCCCGGATACACGACCTGTCTGCAGGTGAGTGACATTTACAAGATTATATAACCCCTTCGAAGCCCTCATACCTTTTTTTCGTTACTTACTTACACATGGGACGCATCTAATCCTATTATGCATCATGGGTATACTCTGATTATTATCAGCTACATATACTTTAACAATTTACTTTCAAGTATATCAAGTACATTCCACAGAACTTCCTCGTATTAAAAAAAGTTATCAAATATGTACATTGTATTACTTTATATAAAAATCATATTTATTCACGTTACCAAACCAAATTTATTATATGTAATAAGCATTTTTAATGACTGCAGAAAACAACATTTTGCACATGGAAAACTTATTCTCAAAAAAGAACTTAATAAATTTATATCAATGATTCATGGAAATTATATTTGTAGGAATCTAACATAAGTTTTTTGAACTTATTATATTCATAGTATCACTCTTTTTTGTTTCAAATTGATATTTAGTATTACATTC